GTATATTTTTTATCCACCACTATTTCTAAATAATTCGTAGGCTTATATAATTCACCTCTTTATAGAACTTAAGTCATGCCATACCGTTTTAAAGCAAGCAAAAATAGCCAAATATTTGCAAAATTTACTTCGTAGTTATTTACCGTATTTTTAATTATTTTGGCGTGTCCGGAGCAGTTGGCATCTCAGATACACGGTATATTTGTTTTATAAAACGCATAACTATATTTAAAGGATTTAGTTTTTAAACAGATTTAATTCACCTGATGAAAATAATTGGATATGGTAATTCAGAACAGAATTAATTCAATTTTTACATTTCATCATTCTTTTTACTAAGGCTGTTATTAGGCATTACCGCACTTTTTAATTGTTGTACTAGAAATCGAACTAACTATCAACATACTAATGAGTCCGTAACTTCCTTTCTAGTTTCTATAAAGCATTCACTCAAATTTGAGATTATCATGTAATACTAGAGAAAAGATGCTTTCGCTATGCTGTTAAATTAAATCAAGCTGTAATTATTTCTTAAAAATATAGTGAGGATGTTTTTAAAAATAATTTACAGGAATTGTATTTGCAAAGAAATAAAAATATTTTATTAATGAAACAATAACAAAAAATAATATAACATTTTAATAGCGTGTTTTATTGGAACAATATTTTGAAGAATCATTTCTATTTAACTTTTATGGTCAAGAAAATGAAAAATACAAGCTGCCTTATTTTTGTGATGTTCTCTATTAAATCTCTTGATAAGAAGAAGAATGCAAACTTTTTTAAGACTTTTTTAGAAATTAACAAAGAAATATTATTTACTACAAAAGTAATAAGAGTATTCGAAAATGTTATCACTCTTTAAAGTAAAATCTCTTGCAAATGAAAAAGTTGATATTTCTAAAATGTTTAAGTAATCGAAAAATCGTTATCGTCAAAATAAATATATCTGCAAATCTAGAGAAAAAAAATGTATAAATGAAGGGATTTTTTTTAATGACTTTTGTCAATAGTTTTGAACTATAAATGATATTTATCCACCTGAAATCTAACCTTAACCCTTTCGCGCCGACAGTCACTAATGCGTGCCAGCATAAAAGCGTATCAATCAGGGTAAAAAGATAAAACTGGTAATCAAAGTAATTCTTTAGCAGTTTATTTGTGGGCGGAGTTATAATTGTTTGATTTATTTAATTCGCCATTACTTTGTTCAAAATAAAACTAGTTATACTTTGTACTAACATTGATTATATATATGATAAAACTAACAATAATTAAAGTAAAAAGAAAGTAAGTCTGTCAAATTAGCAACGACTACATTTAAGTTACCGTTTTTTATTTAATTTCATTCTGATTTTGTACGAATGCTTTTCTGAATCACCCGTCCCCAAGGGGTTAATCTATAAAAATATTCGAACTTGCGTAAATGATATCTAATTTTATCTGATTAAGATAGAATTGTTTAAAAGTAAATTAGGAAAACAACTAAAAGTTATTATGTGAGTTTTGACTGTTTTTTTCTTATTATTATTTTATCATTTCGGACTAAGAGCATGGAGTTAACCTAAATATTTTTCTTTAATGACTTATGTCACTAGTTTTAAACTCTAAATGATATTTATCCAACTGTAATCTAACCTAAATCTATAAAAATATTCAAATTTGCATAAATGATATCTAATTTTATCTTATTAAAAGAGAATTGTTTAAAAGTAAATTAGGAAAACAACTAAAAGTTATTATGTGAGTTTAGACTGTTTTTTATTTTATTTTATCATTCAGACTAAGAGCCTGGAGTTATCCTGAATCTTAACACAAGTGTAAATGAAACTATATATAAAAAAAATTAAGTTTGAAAGCATTTGTTTCATTACTAGAAGCATTTATTGTAAAACAATATTAATTAAACTTTTTTGTAATGTTGAGAACATTCCCTTATAAATATATCCGCAAATTTTTCATTCATTATGGAGATGATAGATACCTTGTTTCTCTCAATAGTAGAATAATAAATGGAACAAATATATTTTATTTGAACATATTGCATGCAAGTTCTTCCGTAAAACGACCAGAAATAATATATATTTATAGTTTCCTACAAAATACTGATATATAAAGTATTATAAGATAATTAAAAAAAATGAACTATAGTGATACATAAAATATAAAGAAAATGATTACTTAATTTACTAATACGATGGCTTTAATTTTACCTCTTGAGGAATTAAAAATGTACGCACCAACTGTGTCAATTCTTTTCTTGATCCTGCTTAGGATCATTCTTGACGTGTCAAATTTTTTATGGCATCTCCGTTAAGCTGTTTCGGAAAAAATTAAATGTTATCAAATTTTATGATCAACAATTTGTAAATAAATTTTTTTTAAAATCAGAATTACAAAAATTTAGATCATAAGATAATATTTGGCAACTGTTATTTTTTGGAAACGGAAGCTATTCTCCATACCTCAAAACTATTTTTTTTAAAATAAAGCAGAGTTTCTTTTACTTTTATTCCTGCTGAACCTACAATAAAAATATTTTCTGCATACAAATTAAAAATTCGATAAATATGTATTGCTCTAAGTCGGTATTGGTCTGCATGATCTGGTGATATTGCTTTGTATCATACATATATTCAATAAATATGCATACTCCTTCATATTTTGTTTAAAAATGTTTTTAAATCACATGCAAAATTGCAGATATAGAAAATTAATATAATTAATATTATTGCTCAATATATACCTTTTTTTTATCAAGTACCTATTTTTTAGCAAAAAGAAAAGAAAAATTACCTCTGCCACTTTCTTGTGAAACTTATCAAATTATGAAACTTATAATCATTGAAAATATATAATCCTTAATATTTTGTTTTAAAACTCATTAAATCAAATGAAAAATTGCAGTTATCGGAAATTAATATAATTAATATCATGACTCAAGATATACCTCTTCTATCGAAAATGGAAGGAAAATTACCTTTACTATTTTCATTAACTTGTAATCAAACTGTTTTCTGCTCGCAAGTTAAAAATTCAACAAATATATTATATTGCTCCGAATTGGTATTGGTGTGTATCTTTTATAAGTTGGTGATATTGCTTTGCATCTTATATGTTTTGAAAATATATTATCCTTAATAATTTGTTTTGAAACTCATTAAATCACATGAAAAATTGCAGCTTTATCAAAAATTAATAATATGATCGAAAAGTACCTTTCTACGAATATACAAACGTATA